CTGATGATGTTACCTAGCTGGGTCATGAAATGTCTGCAAGAAAACAAGCCAGCTCAGGACCCCGCGAATCTTCCAGTTGGCCAGGCTAGCACGGGGCAGCTCACCTGGCCACACCGCATTTCTCACTCCTCTGCCGCCACTTCTTTCGCAGGTTTGGTTCCAGAATCGGCGCGCCAAATGGCGCCGCCAGGAGAAGATGGAAGCCACCGCCATGAAGCTTCACGACACCCCCGTGCTGTCCTTCAGCCGGCCCCCGATGGCAGCCAACATGGGCCCGATGGGCAACGCTCTCCCCTTAGACCCCTGGCTGACCTCCCCCATCTCCGGTGCCACCACGGTGCACAGCATTTCGGGATTGATGGGCCCCAGCCAGGCCCTCCAGCCCACCTACCCGGCCCACTCCTTCCTCAACAACCCCCCGGCCCTGCCCCAGAGCATGCAGCCCATGGCGTATCCGTGCGCCACGACGTTCGTGGACAAATACCCCTTGGAGGACCTGGACCAGCGGAATTCCAGCATCGCCGCGCTGCGCATGAAAGCGAAGGAGCACATTCAGACCATAGACAAAACCTGGCAGCCCATTTGATGGCGGCCTTGCTGTCCGTAGCAAAAACACCGGCCAGGCTGACACGGGAGGACGAGGAAAACCCCCCTTAACGTTCCGGGGGTCGCTTAGTTTTTCTCGTGAGGTGAGCGGCCGCCGAAAGGGAGCCCTTCTCCCGATCTCCTTTTGGTAGACCTCAGCCACAACGTGGACTTATACGCCATGGAATCCCGCTAGATCGGCCTCCGCCAAGGGAAGAGGCTTCCTTTCCACCCCCCGTCAGATTGGTGGCAGCAGTGGGATCCGCCCGAAACAAATGTGGCATGGCGTGTTCGTCCTCGCCAGCCTGCTGAAAGTTATTCTAGAACCCGGCAGGGAATTTCTGCGGGCCTGGAAAAATCTCTTCCAAAACCATAAGGCAAATTCTGGACGAACCTCGGGTGAGGGGTGGTGGTGTTGTTTTTAATTTTAATTATTTTTAATTTTTTTGTTCTTTTTCTACGGAAAACCCAGCTGGGAAGGTGGAAGTGAAGTGAAATTGCATTGTTTCAGAAC